ATTGAAACAAGAAAATCAGCCTATGCGAGCTCGCCCGAACCGTGTTGCGAAAACTTAGATACCCTCAAACAGAGAGATGGTAATGGGGAGGACGAAGGCAGTGACGATTAGACTGTGGCGGCTCGTTGGTTCCGAGGATTCTGGGACGACAGCCAGTTGCTCAGCTGTTTCGATTCAGAGACAGCGGGAGAAAAGGAGTGGAAATGACTTTCAGGACAAAGCCGAACAAAACCACAGTACAAGGGGTACCGTTGGTCCCAGCTCGATCAACCTATGCGCTGGCAGATCATGATAGAGTCTGAAAAACAGCATCCGCTAGCAGAGGTGATCAATTTGAAATTCACAGGCAGTCGCATTAGTGTGAGTAGTAGCACCAGACGAAATGGCAATTGAAGCAGTGCGATCTCTTCTTTCTTTCTTTAAATTGGTAAAAGAAATTCTTCAAAGGGAAGACGACTGGGATTGGGTCGTTTTTGTTGCATAGGATAGTTGCTTAATGACAGTAGCTGTGAAACTGATGCAAATGTGAGTCGTGATGGTGTCGTAATTGTAATGCCTCCGTTTGACCTTGCGCGTCAGCTAATTCAGTCTTGTGACGGTTAGCGATAACGACAATTAGCTGTTACGAAGATGATTTGTCGTGCACACGCAGAGAGCATACGGCGAGTATACTTAATAGAATGTTATACGAGCGGCGATAATCTGGGCCAGCATCCAGATGTCAAGTCCGCTCAATCGAAATCCATACGTGTGAGTGAAACAAACTTATCATTATTTTTACCAATAAAAGCTCACCGTCATGCGATTTTTCAGCTAACTACCGAACATTCTATCATCTCTGAATCCGCAACTTTTAATTGAATGTATTCGTTGTTAATTTTCTGTACATCACTGCGGGATACGGGATTTGCGCCCATAACCGTATACATATAAAAGAAATCTTTCAAACTAATGTGGGATTAGTTTTTTTCTCTACGGTGGTTCCTCACTCCAGAGGATTAAGCCGTTCAAAAGTTTTTTTTTTGAAGGATTCGAACTTTGGTAAAAAAATATCTTGAACACCGGTATTGACCCTACTGTAAGATTCAAAAGACGCCAAAAATCGGGTTAGACTCGGAAATTTTAGACTCGAAGATTTTACAGAACGTTCGTAATGAACTCGGGCACGTTTTTGCGGCAAATTTATCGTAACAAGCAAGCGTCTATGGACTATTATGAATACAGAAAAAAAAAAAAAAAAAAAAGCCCATTCTAACTTGACATGGCGAAGGCAAGAATTCTGCTTTTGAAATATGAGCAAAGATTAACTGTTATGTAAGATCTTTGCACCGGATAAGATTGAGATCGGCGCTTTATGCAACTATAAATCGTTAGTCGGCTTCCCCATACTTCGAGAAGGGTTTTCATACGTTAATATGGGGACTCACAGCAAATCGACTGGACGAAAAAGTAAGCAGCAAAACCTATGTCTAATGATTTTTCATGCAAATATTAGAGGTTGCTTCTGAGATCTATCGCCTATGGAGCCGTCCATATTAGGCTTTCGTCAAGTTCCAACAAACTTTTTCTCTATTTAAGCCGGTTTCTATTTTTGGGATTTTTAGGCCCAAAGTCAGCCGAAACCTATGAACCTGCTGGATATTTTTGTATAAAATGTGTTTGAGCGAGACCTTAACTCTTCAAAATATATGATATGATTACTGTTAAAAAATATCTTCAAATTTACATCATTCATGTAAGACTTATGAGTTTAATCTTGGAATCGAAGAAAGGAACTGCTATATTGAATATCACGTTAAGAATATTTCTATCAACGCATGCGCACAAAACATTTCATCCAGATACCTGTTTTCATATGGATGATTTAGTTTATATATACGAACGCCATCAGTTGTTCCCTAATTTAGCCTAAACTTTTTGTGAGACATGCTTCATCGTCGCGTCTTTTTTTCTGATAACGCGTATTAACAAAACATATTACAATTGCCAGTAGACGGGCACATACACACGAATATGCACACGCATACGGCCACGCACACAAATACAAACGCTTGAGGAAATGTTTTGTTTGAAAAATATTTTCTTGATGTCGCCGTTCTCAGTTCCGTATGCACACACATACACCCACTCTACTACTGGCAGAACTCGCAACGATCGATTGATTAACGTTCGTTCGATCGATCATCGGCTTATTGTAAATCTCTTATATATTTGCAAGGGTTGTTTTACTGTGCCAAAATGTGACCCTCGCGTTTGGTCTGTCATCGTTTCCACTACTGTTATGACGTCTACAATAGTTGCTAGTAGTATTCACTGCTCGTGCTGTCGTTGGGATTGGGGCCGGTAACAGCACCGTTAGCCATCGAACGACTACGGAGACGACGACGACGACGGCTCAATAGGTGTCTGTGATGACTTTCTAATACGTTTTTCCTCAGCAATAGAATGATAAAGCGTCGAAACGAAAAAAAAAAAAAAGAAAAAAAAGATTCGACGAAAAGACTCTTCTCTAAACGAGCAGAACAAATCCATCTGTAATGCTATAAAAGGGCACATAGAGATATGTTTCCCGCATTGCGGGAAGCGACGGCTGTCGCTTATGGCCGATAGCGATGAAAATGACGCAGTTCAGGCAAATGAGGTAAAAGACGTAGACGAAGAGGCGCTATTTTCCTAGCTCGTCCGCGTGAACTACTTGCTGGCACCCAGAGCATGATTACAATAGCATCGCCACGATCGTCACAACCCGACAGATTGGAATTACAATGCTAAACAAGGCTGGTTCGCGAACTATAATGATTTCAGTTAGACTCATGATTACTTCACATAACGGTCGGCAATACGGCTACTGCCGCTAATACTACAAGTGCTAGTACTATGGGCTACTACAAGCCATTATCATTGGCAAAAAAATTTCAACATTTTATTACGGCTGCTGCTGTAGGAGTGTCCGTCGTGTACGTCCGTCTGTAGCTGTGCGGGCCCTGCGTGCTGTGCACTTACCGATTGGTGCCGGTATGCAGGTGGCTTTATCACAGCCGTTGCGGCGGCGGCGGCGGCGGCGGCGGCTCGACAAGAATACATTTTGTAGGGACGTTTCATCATAGCAGTCGTCAACGTCGTTGGCTTTTACCATGGAGAAACGAGTCGGAGGAATACTAAAGGACCGATGAGGAAGAACCAAACCCAACGATAAGGAAAACGGAAGCCTTGGTACTACGTTGGACTTCCGACACCCCCCACCCCTCGGCATCAGTTGATCATTTTTGTATGATTTTGTTAAGAAGTGGAGAAAAGAAACTCCGAAACGGACCTGCAACAGCAGGACGACTGGGTAGAAATGAAGTCGGAAAATGGCGTCGTAACGAACCGTTTGGTGAGTCGTTCTCTAAAATGGGACCGTGCCAGGCAAATGCTAGATGCCTTACAACTTGTCGTGAAATGTTGAAACCTAAGCAACTTCCAAATTAAACGTGAATTTTTGAGACTTTTAGTGAGCTGCATTTTGCATACGTCAAGTTTTAAATCCCATTGGTTACGGTAAGTTAGAAGCAAAAGTAACAAATGAAAATTATGATTTATGTCAGTCGTTTAGTCATCATTAATGATGGCTTTATTTGTTTTGATCTAGAAGATAACATTGAAAAAGGCCGATTCGTCTACTTAGATGTCAGTTTTGTATGTCTATTTATAATAGCAGCATATGAAATATAAAGTTCTGTTCACCGACAATAAACAGACACAAATATCAGAGTTTGATCGCTTCCAATGAAAGGATGTTGACGGTATACAGTTTGTTGTTCCAGACTTCGACCTTGTGAAGACTCGTTACCTTGATGATATCGACCATGTAAAAAAGCTTAGCTAACTGATAAGAATTGATTGCGTGCACATTTTTATACAGTGAACACTTATCGTGCATCCTTACTGGCGAATATTGTGAGGGAGGCTTAGTTAAGCCTCTCGAAAGTGATACGGTCGTGCTAAGCTCTTCATCTACCAAGCTTTATCAAGTTCACGTATATCTCGTGCAAATAAGCATGTACTATAAACTATAGCTCGAGCATCCAGTGCACGAACATGGCGTTGCTTATATTACCCCTCGCTAAATACCCATCAATTTATCGGTATCGAAAATTACTCTTTGCAGCTTATGTGAAGGAACATGGGACGTTGGCGTGAAAATCTGCAGCGATCTATAGGTGTTGCACTTGTATGAATTCAAACTACTTCAAGCCTTTAGTAATAAGGTATCTATCGAAGCTAGTGCCCATCTTGGCGTAGTTTTTTGTCGTCAAGCCTTTGCAGACTGATAGGTATTATGAATTTCAACAATCCTTAATAGATACGAGCCAGTTGATCAAAAAATGATATTTCAGAGATAATTAAGAACTAACATGGGCATGACCCAATGAAACGCTTAATTTATTGTCATGGTTTTTCACACTTTCATTGACCGATACTTTTTAATAAAATACTAGCCATTTCTATCTAACTTAATTATTGATAATTTCATTGATTATACTCGTTGTTCCTTTTTAAATTTGAATTGTTATTGCTAAAGTAAATATCTAGCACATTCATCTGTCGAACTCTGTTCCGCCCCTAATTGTATCATAAGGAGGACACGATACATGGAAAAGGTGCAAATCGGGAAACGAAACGTATACGAAATGATAACTAACATAGCTGAACAATACCTTTACAGTGTTTATTACTCACACTTGTATACATACTTATATAAAAAGCATAAAATTGGTGAACCATGTCATTGCATATTAGCTATTTTGGACCTATTCAGTGGGGTGCAACTCCCTTTAAATTGTGTATCACTAGCAGACAGAAATGTGGCAAATATCTGTATTAAGTTTTTAATTATTTACAATTTTAAACTAATTCGATATCATCAGAAGATGATGCCTTTAAAGTCAAAATGTTTGTTTAGTGCCTAAAATAACAGCCTAGTGATTAACTTTCAAATGAAAACACTGGACAAAGAGACTTTCACCGAAGTTCCAGTTTATTGCTGAGTTAGTCATTCGAAGAACGGAGTTAGGAGATCGAAGATTTCGGAGGAGGTAGATACATCTTAAACGACTTCTTGTGATGGGCGTGGTGGGTAACTTGTTTACCTGCTATTGAATAAACATGGGTGTTTAAATTCGAATCCAAACGTGGACACGCTTTGTTTCGTGCTGCGAGCCGCTCGCCTGATGGTATGCCGAACGGACGGACGTGAACACTCAAAACATTGCGCACCTTCAACGAAATAAGTTGGAACGGTGGTCATGGAAATTCTGAAGCAAAATAAAGTATATATAATGCGTTTTCTGTTCGCTCGGTATGGTATTTCTCGAAGTACGCGTTGTGTAATTATATGCGAATATAGTGAAGATAAAGCAACCAACCAATAGGATCTTTATTAATTGAAATTGCATTACGTGTGGTATATTTTAGAAATAAATATAGAAAAATATTACCACCGAAAAACTACCTGGGCTCCATAAACGAGCGATAGGTCAGTCTGTGCCAACGATCAGAACAGGATCAGATGAGAGCAGCGAAGGAAATAACTTCAACGACAATGTTGAATAGATTCGCTGGTAAGTTGATGCCCATGGTCACAATGGACATTAGCGCCGTTTGTTGTTATGAGGTATCGTTCAGTGCCACTAGATATCTTGAATTCAAGATAGGTGCATGATACGGAGGTTCACAGTTGCTCCACAATAACACACACACGACCTTACCACAACGCTTCAATCACGGTTTGGCACGAAATATAGCGATGTCTTTAGTTATACATTCTGCAGATCTCCGTAGAATTTCGACTGCTTCCTAGCTCTGAAAAGAGAAATAGGCAGCATAAGCTATCCTACTATGGATTCTTTGGAGAAAATTAAAAAAAAAAAAAAAAAAAAACAGGGATAACGTGATTAGGTGTCGTACAAAGCACAACGCTGTTGAAAAGCTCCCAGAGTATCGGCTTTAGCGTGTACCCAATATTTTAAAACATCGTTGTTTTACCTTGTATAATTTCTAGAAGTCATTCTAGTTTTCCTGCCCATAAAATAAGTTTGTTAGAAAAACTAATAAATAAAAACAAGAAATCGCACCAATTACAGACGTTTATACGCATTTACATGACAGAAGTATACATATTTTAGGGATATTATTATAAAATATTCAACCCATTTTAATAGTTATTACTTGCTTATCTTTCTCGTCGTTATTATCATCTCGACTTGCACGGCAAGTATACT